ATCCTATTTTTCAAATGACATTTTTTGACCTTTTGTTGAAATTTTTTGACATATTTTTACCTTTTTTGATATATTTGACCTTTATGACACTTTTTACATTTTTGGACCTTTTTGACCTTTTTTAATACCTTTTTTGACTTTTTTTCACCTTTTTGACCTTTTTTTACCTTTTTTACCTTCTTTACCTTCTTTACCTTTTTTTTAATCTTTTTTATCATTTTTACCTTTTTTTGACATTTGTTGACCTTTTTTACCTTTTTGACCTTTTTAGACCTTTTTAGACCTTTTTTTTACCTTTTGTTGACCTTTTTGGCAGTATTTGTATTTGTCAAAATATGACCTTTCAAATTTAGTAAATTTGTAACAATCATGGGCATTATGAGTGTGTTTGTGGCAACCAAGCCAAAAAAATAAAAAAATAAGCAAGTGGAAAATAAAAATATATATTTGAACCATTGACAGCAAGCTTGTCGATTATTTTAAAGTTAAAAATGATGGTAAAACCAGCAAAAAATATAATAATTTTCGGAAAAGAAAATATGTACTCATAAAAGAAGAAAAATTAATTAAAACAAGTTATAAAATAAAATTTTAAAATCCTACTCCAAAAATGAAGAACTTGATTTTCTCATGGATTCTAATATCAGATATTTACCAAATTTATATGGGACCGCCCCTGAGGTAAAGAATTATCGCTGAACATAAACAAAAAAATATTCTAACGAATTGAAAGCCTCCTTCTTTTTTTAAAATTGGTTAAAAAGTTTGGAAAGGGTGAATAACTCAACATATATTCTCTTTCCACTTGAGAAACCACAAAAGTATAATAATAAGTCAAGGAAATTAAATATTCTGAGGTTTTAACTTTTTAACCTCTTTTAATTGTATTTTCTCTTCTTCTTTTTATCGTTGTCTACGTTCTACTTTTTAAAACAATTGATGGCAAGTTTTCATTGAACTTTATAAGACCCGTATTTATAAACAAAACTCAGCTGAGTCGAACTTGGGTAAGTCGTCTTTGTTAATTTAGAGATGGGTAGTAACAAATCCGTAAATGTACATAACAGTTACATATTTGCTAATATCCATCTCTAAATTCGAGTCAAACACCAGAACCACCTAGAACTTTAGTGACGTTGTAACCGAACTTTGATTTTAGTTCAAGGACGACTTACCCAAGTCTGACTCACGTAAGTTCTGGTTATAAATACGGGCCTTAGTGTTAGTTATTATTCAATTTAACTCCAACATTTTTACTTCAATTCCAGTCAAATGAGGTCACAATTTCCAGTTCTATATTCTTTGGGTAATTATTGCGAAGACGCCCTTTTCTTAAAAATACAATTTTTTTACAAAACTTACATTTTAGGCTTTAGGAAAAAGAGTATTTTTCAAATATGCCACCGGAAACCCCATAAATTAACGTTTTTTTTTTTTAATACATATTAAAGGCTTATGAGGATTATTAAGTGATCATTTATGTAAATTTATTCATTAGAATTTCGAATTATATATGTCATGCTATGTCAATTCAAATATACGCGGTGTTGCCAAGTGTAAAAAATTACCCTTTTTTACATAACGTTTCCATACATTTTAAATAGCACTTCTTTAATTCATTTCCAGTCACTTCTGACGATTTAGTTAACCATTTTGATTGAATTGTTGCAGTACATAATATTAAATATTAATATTACATCATCTATAAAGTAATAAACAAAGTACTTTTTGAAAAGTTTTAAACATAAATTTATTATTACTTTGTATTAGGCATTCTAAACCAAATGGCTGCCCGTTTAAAATGACAGGCCACTGACAGGTTAGAATATGGCAACACTGTGGGCCTGGTGATTTGATAGGGTCAATGCTATAAACAGTTATATAAATTGATCATCCATGTTTTTCAAAATAAATATAAGCTTATGCCTTGAAGTAAAAATGTAGGAAATTATATTTTTTAATATATTCAAAGGCTGGAAATTGGTTTTAAAACATATTTTTATTAAACCGATTTAAATTAATAGACACTTGTCAGGCAATATATGTATCACTGACCCTGTCTATATCAACAGGCCCACAGGGTTGCCATATCTAAACTGTCAGTTACCACTGGCAGCATTTTGACAGGTCGTTGGAATGCCTAATTATCCAAAAGTTTAAAACAAGTGAATTTATTTGGTTGACAAATGACGCCAGCTAGCCAATTTTAAAGAATTAATTCAATTTTCGATGGGTTAACTGTGACGTCACTCGGTGGATACTTTAAAAGTCATCCCATTTAAAGCGTACATCGATACACCCTTTTTTTAAATTACGACGTTCAAACATTATTAAATTCAAAAGATAAGACATTTAAAAATTAATGGAGTAAATAAATAGGCAAGTAGTAGGTAATAAATTTAAATACAATGGCCCTGTTAAAAACAGTTTTCTTTAATTAAGAAATATTGAGAAATTTGACATGTTAAGTTATAAGTCGAAATTTATATACAGAGTGTACAAAAAGTAACGTAACATACTAATAGATTCCTGATAGGTTTGCAAAACAATTTTGAAATTTTATTAATATAAAATATGAAATATACTGTGTGTGTTGACCATTACTCCAAAATTACGCAATAATATACATTTTTTTAAATAACTTTTCGTACGCTATTAAATTTAAAATTAAACTGTTAATACCGCATTGTGCTAACTTTATTAGCTCGAATACATCCTTGCGTTATTTTGGAATAAAGGTGCGTGTGGTATATTTTTAAAATACTGGATTTGATTTATTTTATACATTTTTTTATCCAAAACACTTTTTGTAAACCTTAAAATTCAAAAATATTAAAAAGTTCCTTGACACACCTACACCATAAAAGCACGCTTGTTCTCCCACGTCCTAACTACCTTAGAAGCGATCGTGTTTGGTTGATGTTTCGAAATTCGCAAATGCCCTTTTTACATCTACACCGTAAGAGCACGCTTCGCTCGTAGCACCCACCCACCTGCTAACCACTAAAGGAGCGAAATGAGCGTGCCCGGCCAACGTTTCGAAATTCGCGCGAATTTCGAAACGGGCGCGGCCTTTTGAAACCAACACCATAAGAACACGGAACGCTCTTCCCATCCACTTCCTAACTATTACAGAAGAAAGCGAGCGAATCAAGTGCGCCCGGCCAACGTTTCGACAAGTACAGTAGAGAGCAAGCGAAGCAAACACACCCTTTTACATTTAAAATATTCCATACTTACGCATGCGCAGATGATAATACGAAAATATAATGGGTTATATGATACTTTTTATTTCAATTTGAGTTGTGTCTATGTCGTTGGAGTCCATGCCGGTCGGCGTAGCCAGTTATGAGTTAGCAGTATATTCTGGTGACGGCGAAACCGCCACCCTACGAGAAGTCGTTGCTTCGTCTTCTTGTTGTATATTCACGGGCATGAAATGGGTTACCAGAATACCACTATGTCTTCTGTAGTAGTTAGGAGGTGAGTGGGACGAGCGTAGTGTGCTGTTATGGTGTAATTGGAAATTCGAGCGAATTTCGAAACGTCGGACGGGCGCGCTCGCATCACTCGCTTGTGTCATGCTTAGGAAGTAGGTGGAACAAGCGTTCAGTGCTATTAGGGTGTAAGTGTAACAAGAGGGCGCAGGGCCGAGCCCGGCTGACGTTTTGAAATTCGCGCGAATTTCGAGCTTGCATCTGTAGCCGTTAGCAGGTGGGTGGGACGAGCGAAGCGTGCTCTTACGGTGTAAGTGTAAAAAGGGCACAGGCGAATTTCGAAACATCAAACCCGTTTCTAAGGTAGTTAGGGCGTGGGAGGTCGAGCGTGCTTTTATGGTGTAAGTATGTCAGTGAACTTTTTATTGTTTTGAATTCAATCAAATAAATCAAATTTTCAGTATGTCAGAAATATACCAGGCGCACTATTATTCCAAAATAACGCAAGAATTTATCAAGCTAATAAAGTTAGCACATTGTAGTTTTAAGTTTTATTTCAAATTTAATAGAGTAAGAAAAATTATTTAAAAAATATATTCTTGCGTAATTTTGGAGTAATGGTCAACCCAGTATATTTCTTATTAACTTGATTTAATTCATAAAATTTTATTTAAACCTGTTTTGTAAACCTATCAGGAATCTAAATATTAATTAGTATGTTGTTACTTTTTGTACATTCTGTATATAAATTTCGACTAATAAATAAATAAATAAATAAAGCCACTTGGTTCAAAAGTTTTAAAAACTTTTAGATAACACAAAAAGGTATTTTTCGTGGAATAAACCAACATGAACGTTTATGATAAATGTTCTTCAGACATGCCTGATTGGTCTAAATAACATAACAGTAATTATGTTTCAAAGTTTTCGAAAAGTATTGTTTATTATTTTATAGATGATGTAATATTAATATTTAAAAATAATGTATTACAACAATTCAATCAAAATAGACAAATAAATCATCGGGTGTGACCGGAAATAAATTAATATAACTGATTTTTAAAGAGTATGGAAATGTTATGTCAAAAATAAGGTATTTTTTTATATTTCTTTTTTGTTGATTTTAGTTGGACATTTGGCAACACCGCACTAATTTGTATTGACAGAGCATGACAGATAGAATTCTAAATTCAAATGAATAAGTTTACACAAATGATCACTTAATGATCCTCATAAGGATTTAATATGTAAAATTTTTAAACAGACGTTAATTTATGGGGTTTCCGGTGGTATATTTGAAAAATACTCTCCTTCCTAAAGACTAAAATGTAAGTTTTGTAAAACAATATGTATTTTTAGGAAAAGGGCGTTTTCGCAATAATTACCATTCATTTGTTGTAGTTATTAATTATTATATTATTTGTTATTAAAGCTACATGGTATAAAGAAATTAGTATTGATGGACTACCTGCCTGTATATCAGTATAATTTTAAAAATGAATGCAAAATCACGTTCTAAATACATTATAATTTAAAAATCAACAAAACTGAAAATGTACTCACCTGTGAATAACAGAGGATGATTTTCTAGATTTTCGAGCAATGCGGGTCAAATTGTTTTTACACTATCATTTAACAACATAAAATAAAGTTGTTTTTAAAATATAAATTAATTGCTGAAAATGACATTACTAAAATTTAGAAGCATGATTGAATGGTACGTACTTGATATTTTTGTGACAGTTATGTGATTGGTTTGTTCGTTTGAATTTTACTTTTGACAGGGGCGGACTATGGTGATAAAAGATGGAAAATGTCAATGGAACTTTTCCATTATTCGACAATTGCGCATTACTCATGCGCGAAAAAAGTGCAGAAGTTTTTTTTAGAATTGGCATCTAAACGTAGTTTTTTTTTGCCACAGACTTTTATAAACCGAATAATTATTTATTTATATTTTAATATATTTCTTTTAATTAAAAATTTAATAATTAAGTTATATATTTTCTCATCAAATGAACTTAATAAACTTAATAAAGTAGAAATACTTGTTGGAAAAAGGTTATTTAGGGAAGAAAGTTTTCTAAGAAAATCTGAATCATGATAATTATGGCTACAAGAAAAAATGAGGTGGTTGATATCAGCAAAAGAAGAATTGCCGCATTGACAGAAAGGTGATATATTAATACCAATTCTAGAAAGGTGTGACGGAAAATCCCCATGATTCAGTTTCATCCTTGTTAAAGTCGTACAATATTACCTAGACATTTTAAAATTTGTAATGTGGGTAATAGATTTTGGAAGAACAGGGTGAATAAATGTATATGGGTTATTTGAATGAGCAACAAAGTGTTCCCAAAGTTTCTCCCAGCTTGAACTAACATTTCATTTCATTGCATGAATAATATCCTGAGGAGAATGAATATTACTAATAGTTGGAAGAAGAATGGATTCTTTAACAGCTAAATCGACTTTTCCATTTCCAACTATCCCTTTAAGACTTTTAACCCAGATGAAAACAATCTTGATTTTAGAATTATGAAAAGAAAGGAGATACTGAATATTTCTCTAATAATAGGATTTTTGTTAATACTGTACGAATAGTTAAAACAGATTTCGAGTCTGAAAGAACAACCGATTTGCTTTCTCCATAGCATTTTATCCAAATGAGTGCTTTTAAAATTGCAAAAGCCTCCGCTGTATAAACAGATGAATAATTTGGTAAACGAAATTGGGAAATAAAGTTTTAATTTTCCACACAAAAAGCGCATCCTGTACCTTGTTTTCCTTTAGACCCATCGCATAAAATAGTATTAACTGTATCTAGCGTTCCCACTACCGATTTTATGATTATATTATTAATTTTAGGGGAAGAAGTAAACTCAGTAAATAAGATTGTTGGCTTGAACAATAGGGAGAAAAAATTAAACTGGTACATAGGACAAATATCGTAAGGTAAGACTCAATTTTATTTATAAACTGGTTTAAAGATACACTCATAAACTAGTTTAAAGATACACAGACTTCAGCCAAAGGTGGACTGTTTTTAAATTTCTAATATTCAAGATAAAGAAAATATTCAGTATTTTTTCCCGAAAACATTTTAAATGTAACTAACTTTTTGCATGCTATAAAATGTCTTCGTAAGTAAAGAGGAGGCTCTTGTGTTTCCGCAAGAACCGATGGAGTAGGGGAAGATTTAAAAGCACCGATACATATTTCAAATGCTTTAACTTGCATACAATCTAATAACTTAAGGCTTGAGTTCGCAACTGATCCATATAATATGCACCCATAGTCGATGATTGATCGGATGTAAGATCTATTAAACATTAACGACGTTGTTGTGTCTGCACCCCATTTAAATTTTGTGACCTATTTAAGAATATTAATGCCTCTTTCACGTTTGGATAAAGTATAATCACTATGCTTTTTCCATGTAAGCTTATTATCTAAGACAATTCCTAAGTATTTGGAGAAACTTACTATTGGAAGAGATATTGAATTAAATTTAATAACGTCTCCTGTTATCAGCCTGTGACGGGTATAAATCATCACAGCTGATTTATTTGCCGCCAGGGAGAAACCATGATCAAATAACCAGCTTGTAAGGCAATATATGACATATTTAAGATCTACAACGAAATCGTGATAAGACCTAAATACATCATCCGCGTACTGAATACTCTTAATTGGTTGATCGAAAATCTCATGCAAGCTTGCCGTGTATTAACAAGAGATGAATGGATCCTTGAGAAATACCCTGGTTGACAATTCTAGGGCCATGCAGAAGGTTATAGTGATCTCTAATATATACTCTCCTGTTTTTAAATAACTCAATAATATTGACTTTTGTATCAAAACTGTAATAGGAGAGTTTTGTTTGTAAGATGTTCAAATCAACTCCGTCATATGCCCCTTTTAGATCTAAAAAATACATGCTGTGTATTCGTTTTTTGAGAATGAATACTGAATGTCATTAACTAACAGTACAGGCGTCTAAAGTATCTTTAGACTTACGGAATCCGTACTGGGAACTAGATAGCAGAGACTTATGTTCAAAATATTATTCTAAACGACATTTAATAATTGTCTCAGAAGTTTTATCAAAACAAGATAACAGAGAAATTGGGCAGTAAGATGATGGATCGCTAGGGTCTCTTATAAGTTTAAGAATGAATTGATTATAAATTTCAACTAAGACACTTTTTGAATTGTCTGGTAAATTTCTAATCAAAGAATAAGAGAAGCTATCTTTTCCAGGAGCTATGTTACAAGTGGTTTTAATTGCTAATTCTAGTTCAGTTAAAGTTATTTTTAAATAAAGGAAGTTTTTATTTCCCAATTCCCTATTTTTTACCAGCTGAGGAATAAATTTGGATCAACAAATGAAGGAACAATATTGTCAAATAATTTTTCTATTAGATCTGGAGCCTTACAACTGTTGGGTTGGCTACGACGATAACCCCATGTCATCGTTACTTTAAACAACTGTCATTGATTTATTGATTCTATATAGTAGAGAGCCAGTGAAACGATTTTGGTATACATTTGCTAAAAGCTAAATTACAAATATGTCGTGAATTCTTACCATGTGGAAGATGGAAATAGTTTGATGCAATTGATCCAGTAGTGAAGTGCCCTGTCAGCAAGCAAAAAGGTACTGTGAGCAGAATTTTAAGAAAGTGGCAGCAAACTTTTTTCTACCAACTTTTAATGTAAATAATATCTGAATGTTTCAAGTTTGCGCTTCTATGACAACATTTTCTACACTCCATGGCAGCATAGCAAACTATTTCCATGTTCTACATGGTAATTATGAACGAACTATTTCCAATTTTACCATTCGCAAATAACACATCTAAAAGAGCTACTGGCTCCCCCACTAATACTATCAAACAACAAAACAAAATGACATATGCAGATGAGTAATTGAAACTCATGGTAAGAAACATAACAATAAATTTTGATGATTTAAAAGCCACCTACTTTGATTTTCTCTTACTATACGGAGAACGGTCGCACTGCGCAGCTTTCTGAGTGCCTTTTAAAAGGAGACAGAAAACTCCGCCATTTTGATGCCTTATTACGTGTTGCCTACATCTTGGCGCAATATTTTTAATAGGTGCGTTTTAATTATCCGCTTCTGCTTCGGAATTGTCGGTTTTCTTTTTTTAATCTGACAGGTTAAAACGACTAAACCGACAATTCCGGAGGCAGAAGCGGATGATTAAAACGCACCTGATATTTTGCTTGCTGCTGTCAGTGTCAGTGAATATTATTTTTGGAGTCACAGTTTATTGCTAAAGAATCAGTTAGCTCACTCGGACCAGTTGAAAGTTCCAAAATAACATCTACTCCAGGGATACGAATTCAGGATGCACAGAAGACTGCTGTTTTGTTATAGGCGGTTGTCATATATTGTATTATCCGAGTTGCGCAGTGTATAAACTGGAACATTGAGTTCAAAAGTGCCGACGCAGAGTGAGCGAACTGATTCTTTAGCTATAAAGTGTGGCAAAGGCATCAAAATGGCCGCGCCCTATGTTGGGCGTGTCGGATCTCTCTCTTGCACCGTATAAAGCGAACATATAATTTGCGCATGAGTAATAGAGATTATCAATAACGGGAAGGGTGTATTGTTTTAAATGAAAAATATCATTACATTATGTTTTCAATTCAAAAATCTGTATACTCGGATACATCTAAAACAAAAACAAAATATAGACGCAGTCTGTATCTTAACAGATATATTACTTTTCTTAAATTTTAGAAATAAATTAAAATATTTTAATATTAAAAAATATATGGTATTGGCAAATTAACCATGAAAAATTAACATGTTGATATATACAGGGAGAGCCACCGAAAGCTTTTCACTTAGGTTTTTTCGTATTGATGCAAAAAACAAAGAACGTTTGTACATGTCGATTTTAGTTTGGAGGAGGACTATTTTTTCTAATCGGTACTTCAACCCTCAATCAATGGGGTGAACAACCATTACAGTTTAAATGGGGGAAATACCAAGGATGACACATTGAAAAGAAAATTTTGATGAAGAATTCAGCAATAAATCTATACTCGTATATTGTGTTATTTTTAGCGCCCTATAGCTTGATAAAAAACTGTTACGTATTGTAAAGTATTACATATTAAAGCCTCAATTTTAAATATGACAAGAATGGTAGTTTGTACAACAAGAATGAATATGATGGCTATATCCTTATGGGTGTAGAAAAGAAAATTATTAGGAAATTGCTTAAAAACTATAATATTTTAGTTTAACTAGGATTTTCCTTTTGAAAGGCTTTCTTGAAATCAGTGTACGATCGACTTTGTTTTGAACATGTATTTATAGATTTTTCCTACAAAATCTGTAACTAGCAATAATAAAAAATTATAAAATATTTAATAATGCTAGTTTTTTGAAGGGGTGGGTGGCTCAGTAGTAGAGTCTCTGCATGCGGATCCAAGGGTCCCAGATTCGAATCTCACCGTTGGCCGGGATTTTTTTATTTAATTTAATTATTTAAAATTAATTCTGATGCCTTTGTAGGATTCCCCACTCGACCATTCACTGTTGGGTTCTAATAAACAGTGCTATTCCTAAAGTGGCGCTGGGAAACAGTAACAAAGCCTACACAGAACACGAGGCGATATAACCTTAGCAGTTGAAGTCGATGACACAAAAAAATGCTAGTTTTATTTGTTTGCCGAAGTTGTGGGCTGTTGCAAAATGAATAACATGCCTAACTTATGAATACCACCG